TCCTGAGCCCCCAGGTCTCCAGTCCTCTGACACCCCTCACCCATGCCCTGAGCCCCCCATTCCCATGAAAGTCCCCAGCCCCTGAGCCATGCAGTCCTCTGACAGTCACTACCCGTGACTACCCCTGAACCTGGAGTCCACCTAGAACCCAGACAATCCCTACCTCTGGCCCCTGACCCCAACAGGCTCCCATCTCTAACCACTTTCAGTCCCCTGACAACCCCTACCCCTGGCCCCAGACCTAACCAGTCTCCTGACAGCCCTTACCCCTGGCCTCTGAGTCCCCCCAGTCCCATGACAGCCCCCACCCCTGGCCCCTGACCCCAACAGGCTCCTATCTTTAAGCACTTTGAGTTCCCCGATAGCCCCCACTCCTGGCCCCAGAGCCATCCAGTCCCTTGACAGCCCCCACTCCTGGCCCCAGAGCCTACCAGTCCTCTAATAGACCCCACCCCTGAACCTCTAGACCCCTGATATCCTCCACTGCTGGCCCATAATTTCCCCAAGTTCCCTGACATTGCCCACTTCTGGCACATAAGTGCCCCAAGACCCCTGAGCCTCCATTCCAATAACAATCCCTCTCCCAGAATTTACCGTCCTCCTGTCACCTATCACAGCCCATCTTGCGCGCCCATTCCGCAGCCGACTGCTTATTCCGCGCCGCACTTTCCCCTCCGCCGCCCACACTAGACAGCCGGCTTCATTCTAAAAATTCCCTACCATGCCACACCGGACAGGGTGGATCGAGCGGATTATTGTGGTTGTAGAAAGGCTTTCTGTCATTTTTTTTTCTCCAACGGGTAAATGGTGACGAATCTGAAGCGACGAATGAAAGGTGTCCACTATGAGATAAATCCGGGCAGCGACAGCAGTTCGCATTTTCGGCTCAATGGTCAATGTGGTAAATGTATTACCCGGATTAATATATGATCACTGCTGGATTCTTCTGGATAGAAAAACATTGGTTGCTGAATCGAAAAAAACTCTTAAGAGATTCGCTTATGTTTTTCTGTGGTCGCGAAAGTGCGGTCCGTAATGTGAAGTGTGGCGAACAGCCGCGTTCTGTCATTCTGAGTGGAGAAAGATGGCGGCGTGCAGTCTGCAGAGAGTGCTGGAGAGACAGAGCCCGCTGGAGGGCGCCCTGCTGGAGGCGGAGAGTGAAGGGGAGAGGGAGAAACTGATACTGCAGTACTTGGGGGAGGTGAATGCCCGGGCTGAGGAGCTGACAATCCCTGACTTCTCTCCAGGTACCCAGGACCCCACACACCGGTTCCATATGACACCAGGCCAATACAACACAGGGGCCCATGACACCAGGTCAATAAAGCACAGGGGCCCATGACACCAGGTCAATAAAGCACAGGGGCCCATGACACCAGGTCAATAAAGCACAGGGGCCCATGACACCAGGTCAATAAAGCACAGGGGCCCATGACACCAGGTCAATAAAGCACAGGGGCCCATCAGGCCAACCTTTAGGGTATGGTGGGCTCATCAGGCTGGCCCTACATAGTACAGGGCCCATGTCGCAGATCTTATACGCAATAGGGAGTCCATCATGGTGGGCCATAACAAAGGACCTATACCAGGGGTCTCAAACTGTATTCACTCTGGGGCCACTTGACAAATTATTTTCACCCATGGGGGCCGCTTGTCAAATTTCATGCTTCAAAATAAAATGTATCCGGTATGGTACTACTGACCCCAATACACACAATACGGCCCCATTCATATCTGTAAATAATACAACCCCCCCTCCCCCGCACACCCACGTATAAAGTGAAGAGCACCCTCTCCTGCTTACCTTTTTGCAGGGAGGACGGGAGGAGGCGTGATCCCTGGTGATCCAGTGATTGATTAGTACGGTCTGCTGCAGACCTCACTAATCCATCCTTTCAGCCGGCGTTCACTGAAAGATTTCAGAGCGCTGGCCCGAAAGGGTCCGAGTGCCGGCACAGAGAAGCAGCTATGCGGTCTGCATCCGACAGAGACCGCGTACCTTACTTGTCCGCTGGCTGCGGGCCACATAGTACCGGTACTTTGAGACCCCTGGCCAATACAGAAGAGGGGGCCTGTCATAAAAGCGCTATACAGACAAGAGGGCTTGTTATGGAGGTTCTATAAGGTACAGGGGACCCATGACAAAGGCCCTGTAGGTTATAGGGGGCCCCTCACAATGGGCCTGTACATTACAGGGGTCCCGTCACAATGGGCCTGTACGTTACAGGGGGCCCGTCACAATGGGCCTGTACGTTACAGGGGGCCCGTCACAATGGGCCTGTACGTTACAGGGGGCCCATCACAATGGCCCTGTACGTTTCGGGAGGAGGCGTGATCCCTGGTGATCCAGTGATTGATTAGTACGGTCTGCTGCAGACCTCACTAATCCATCCTTTCAGCCGGCGTTCACTGAAAGATTTCAGAGCGCTGGCCCGAAAGGGTCCGAGTGCCGGCACAGAGAAGCAGCTATGCGGTCTGCATCCGACAGAGACCGCGTACCTTACTTGTCCGCTGGCTGCGGGCCACATAGTACCGGTACTTTGAGACCCCTGGCCAATACAGAAGAGGGGGCCTGTCATAAAAGCGCTATACAGACAAGAGGGCTTGTTATGGAGGTTCTATAAGGTACAGGGGACCCATGACAAAGGCCCTGTAGGTTATAGGGGGCCCCTCACAATGGGCCTGTACATTACAGGGGTCCCGTCACAATGGGCCTGTACGTTACAGGGGGCCCGTCACAATGGGCCTGTACGTTACAGGGGGCCCGTCACAATGGGCCTGTACGTTACAGGGGGCCCGTCACAATGGGCCTGTACGTTACAGGGAGCCCATCACAATGGCCCTGTACGTTACAGTGGGCCCATCACAATGGCCCTGTACGTTACAGGGGACCCGTCGCAACAATTGCCCTGTACGTTACAGGGGGCCCATCACCGCAGCCCTATATGGAACAAGGGGCCAATTACAGTGGTCCTGTACAATACAGGGCGATCTACCCCAGCAGTCCTGTATGGTACAAAGGGCCCACTTCACGGATATGCTATACGGTACAGGGGACCCAACACGGGAAACATCTTACCCTATATGGTACAAATAGTCCATCATAGGAGCCCCATATGGTACAGTGGGCCCATCAAGGAAGCTGTATACTGTACAAGGGACCCATCACGGTGGCCCTATTCGGTAAAGGAGGCCCATCACCATCACAGATGTCCCATACAGTACGGAAGCCACATATGACACAGGGGGCCCATCACAGATGTCCCATACAGTACTGAGGGGGCCATCACAGCAACCCTTGATCAGTACCGTGTGCCCATTTGGACAACACAGGAGACCCTCTGGTTGCCCCCAGCTACTGTAGGGCCCTTTATTCAGAACCGCATACCTGATAATGTTATGGAACCTTAAAAAGTGACCCTGTACTGTACAAGGACGCCAACACTGAACCTGCGTACAGAACCCTCCATTATATTCTGCACCTTTCAAGACCCCATCTTCACTTAAAGGGCCAGTCCACCCCTTTCATCCATGGGTTCAGAGGAATACTAATGACTGCTGTAGATCTGTAACAGGAAGTGATCTGTTTACATACAAAGATTCTTTTTTTTTTGTTTTTCTTTCAAAGTTGTTATTTATTTATTTATATTTTTTCACAGAAGTATAAAAAATATCATCTTCTTGTTTTTGTTATTGGTTTTGTATTTATATTTTCTTTTCCTTCCTTTAGGTTTAGAATGGCTGAACACAGAAGGTGCCATCTCTCTACACCAAGATGTGTGTGGGAAAGTTGTGATTTTAGATTTCTTCACGTACTGCTGTATCAACTGCATGCACATGTTCGCTCACCTCCCGATCTACTGAGCCGACCTGTGACAGTCTCATTGTCACAGGTCGGCTAGAACTATGAGGTGAGTGGAAATCACTCGCCTTATAAATCTCCTTTTAAAGTGACACTAACCTCCGGAGTTATATCCCTCCAAGTACCTTAACTCTGAGAAACAATGTATTTATTTGTGTATCACTCGGCTGTAGATCCTCCAATCATCTCTGACACTGTCCTTCCTTCTGGAGGGGGGCTACGTCTGTTCCCCATGGTCCCTGTGGGTGTTGTAGTCACCGCTCCAAGCTCCGCCCCCCCCGGGATGGACTAGAAATCATAATACAAATCAGTAAACTAGACCTGAGATTGTAGTCCATCCCGGGGTGAGTGAGCTCTGAGCGGTGACTACTTTACAACACACACAGGGACCATGGGGAACAGACGTAGCCCCCCTCCAGAAGGAAGGACAGTGTGAGAGATGATTGGAGGATCTCCAGCCGAGTGATACACAAATAAGATACATTGTTGCTCGGAGTTCAGGGACTGGAATGGATTTTTAAGATTTAACTCCGGAGTTTAGTGTCACTTTAAGCTTTGATAATGAAAGACAGAAGCTGATTGGTTGCCATGGGCAGCTTGTTCTGTCCGCTCCAGATTTGATAAATCCTCCTCATTGACTTGTTAAAGCTTATATGGGATTTATAGGGATTGGGTTTACATTTACTTAAAGCAGGATTCTGGGTAAAGCCAAAAGTTACCTTTGTGGTAGGTCTCTCTTCAAACTGCAAGCGATAAATGTTCGTTTTGGTCTACAGCAGCGGTTCTCAACCTTTCTAGGGCCGGGACCCCTTGGTAAAATTTGCCAAGTTGTGGTGACCCCCAACGGTAAAATTTAGGGATGACGCGGCTGCTGCAGCAACATCTGGCGGGAGAACTGACACTGCTGCGCTAGGAGAGGGCTGAGGAGGACTCTCACCTAGCACAGCAGAAATCACACATCGACCCCGCAGCATGAGAACCGCTGGCGTACGCCGTCGTAATAATAATTTCAAAAAACACCATAGGAATGCATAGCTAGATCCCTATTGGCTATTTCGCTTTGCAATAGCCAATAGCAAACTAGCTATTGCACCCGCCCTCTGCTGCTGTCAATCACTAGAAGGGGACCTGATGGAGAACTTCAGGTCCCCTCTGCTGATTGGCAGCAGCAGAGGGCGGTTGCAATAGCTAGTTTGCTATTGGCTATTGTAAAGTGAAATAGCCAATAGGAATGCATAGCTAGATTCCTATGGTGTTTTTTTTCTCTGACTGACGGCGGCCTGCGGCCATGATGTCAGAAAGAGCAGAGCAGAGAAAGTGTTTCTCTTCCGGGCGGCCGGGAGCCGCTAGGCGACCCCTGGCAAATCGTCATTCGACCCCCGACGGGGTCGCGACCCACAGGTTGAGAACCACTGGTCTAGAGGAACATGTACAGCAATTATGCATATCTCACCTATCAACCCTGTGGGCTTCCTACTGGCTGCACGACAGCTACTCTTCGCTGTTCTGTCGGTCGCACTCTGATGTCATCACATAAGTGTAGACCCACCCATGAACTGGAGCATCGGAGAGAAAAGGAGAGCACAGGCTGCTGGGGGGAGCGATGGATAAGGGAAGTAAAACTGCTGCTTATATTCCTCTTAGAATAAAAGAAGAATTGAAGCCTAGCAGTGCAGGGGGAGCCCCACTGCAAGGATAATTTAATTATAACCGGACATTATTTAATCAGTACCAGCTTTGAAAACTGATTCAAACATTTATATGGTTCAGATTCTTAAATCACCCCAGTTGTGACCTATTCTGCTGAAGGGCTGTCGTAGACCTCCCTCATTACCACTTGCTGAGACTTCCATCCTTTTGTGTGTTGAAGCATTAAAACTAAGCCATGCTAATGTTAGGCGGGGACATGAGGTCACATGACCGTTGCTGGCCTATCATGGAAAGCTTTCTGATGCTTTTGCTGTGACACTGGAAGAAGTCGAAAGCATGTGGTTCAGTAAATGTTTTTAGATGCGCGCACCCTTCAGGCGTTGCCTTCACTTCTGTCATTCTCTTTCAGATGGCCTGGTCATTATTGGAGTGCATTCAGCCAAATTTCCCAACGAGCGGGTTCTGGAGAACATCAAGAGCGCCGTCCTCCGCTATAACATCGCTCATCCTGTTGTGAACGACGCAGACGCCACCTTGTGGCAGGAACTGGAAGTCTCATGCTGGCCCACCCTCGTCCTGTTGGGCCCTCAAGGAAACATTTTGTTCTCTCTTGTTGGGGAAGGAAACAAAGAGAACCTGTTCCTTTTCACCTCTGTGGCCTTAAAATTCTACAGAGAGAGGCAGGAGATCAACTCTAACCGTATCCCGCTCCGACTCTACCGAGACTCATTACCCGCCTCTCCATTACTCTTCCCTGGAAAGGTGGCTGTAGACTCTATAGGAGAGCAGCTGGTGATTGCTGACACCGGTCACCACAGGATTCTGGTTGTGTCCAAGGAAGGGAAGGTGCTGCACACCGTCGGAGGTAGGAGCCCAATGGTTTTGTGTGGTAGAAAACTCCATCTAAAAATGATATAAAGCAACACCGGCCAAGCTTAGCTTATCCTTATTCACCATGGAGAACCCGACACTCTCTGCACTTACCAGAAGTGAATGACCTCATGAAAACTGCTCTTACTGCACTTATTGCTGGTCCCTTGCGTGTCCTAATTCTGGCATACCAGTTCTCCTCAGTTCTTACCTCAGGGTAAGAGTGTCCCTAGCTGCTTTGCGTAAACCTCAGACAAATATGCTGGGCATCTGAGGAATCTGCTTATCTGGCTTGCCCTGAATATATATATACACACTATATTACCAGAAGTATTGGGACACCTTTACACGCACTCCCCCATCCGTGTCTTTATGGACCTTGCTTTGTGCACTGGCACACACACTGACACTTGGGGGTCCAGAACAATGACCACTGATACTTGGGGGTCCCAGAACAATGACACACTGACACTTGGGGGTCCAGAACAACGACACACTGACACTTGGCGGGCCCCAGAACAATGACAAACTGACACTTGGGGGCCCCAGAACAATGACACACTGACACTTGGGGGTCCCAGAACAATGACACACTGACACTTGGGGGCCCAGAACAATGACACACTGACACTTGGGGGTCCCAGAACAATGACACACTGACACTTGGGGTCCCAGAACAATGACACACTGACACTTGGGGGTCCCAGAACAATGACACGCTGACACTTGGGGGTCCAAAACAATGACACACTGACACCTGGGGGTCCCAGAACAATGACACACTGACACTTGGGGGTCCCAGAACAATGACACACTGACACTTGGGGGTCCCGGACAATGACACAGTGACACTTGGGGGTCCCAGAACAATGACACGCTGACACTTGGGGGTCCCAGAACAATGACACGCTGACACTTGGGGGTCCCAGAACAATGACACACTGACACTTGGGGGTCCCAGAACAATGACACACTGACACTTGGGGGTCCCAGAACAATGACACACTGACACTTGGGGGTCCCAGAACAATGACACACTGACACTTGGGGGTCCCAGAACAATGACACACTGACACTTGGGGGTCCCAGAACAATGACACACTGACACTTGGGGGTCCCAGAACAATGACACACTGACACTAGGGGGTCCCAGAACAATGACACACTGACACTAGGGGGTCCCAGAACAATGACACACTGACACTTGGGTGTCCAGAACAATGACACACTGACACTTGGGCGTCCAGAACAATGACACACTGACACTTGGGGCCCCAGAAAACGACACCGTGACACTTGGGACCCCCGAACAATGACACACTGACACTTGGGGGTCCAGAACAATGACACACTGACACTTGGGGGCCCAGAACAATGACACACTGACACTTGGGGGTCCCAGAACAATGACACAGTGACACTTGGGGGTCCCAGAACAATGACACAGTGACACTTGGGACCCCAGAACAATGACGCACTGACACTTGGGGACCCCAGAACAATGACACACTGACACTTGGGGGTTCAGAACAATGACACACTGACACTTGGGGCCCCAGAACAATGACATACTGACACTTGGGGGTTCAGAACAATGACACACTGACACTTGGGGGTTCAGAACAATGACACACTGACACTTGGGGGTTCAGAACAATGACACACTGACACTTGGGGGTCCCAGAACAATGACACACTGACACTTGGGGGTCCAGAACAATGACAAACTGACACTTGGGGGTCCCAGAACAATGACACACTGACACTTGTTTGTTGTCTCACAGGACTGGAGAGTGGACGGCGAGATGGAAGTTTTTCGGAATGCTCCTTTAATTCCCCACAAGGAGTGACTATCGACGGCAATATTATCTACGTGGCCGACACAGAGAACCATCTGATTAGGAAGGTAAGTCTATTACTCTTACATGGGGGGGGAGTATTTATGGGGGGTGACTTGTAATATACATTGTACATTCGCCGACTGATCGCTTATCTCATTTATAAGCACGACTGTCATCCACATCCAGCTGCTCATTCCACCCATCAGGACAAATGTTCCACATTTGGGTTTTATCGTTCTCCGGTGTACAATGCTGCGTTCCGTGACGTTTGATGTGTTTATAAAGCAGCCGGGCCCCGTGCTTGTTCCAGTAAAGATTCCGTTGTTTTGTCAGAGGTCACATTTGCTCTTCATTGGCTGAAGATTCAATGTATCATTCACATCTGTGCACGTCCGTGCGTTGTGTTAGTACATTGGGGTTCTATTTAAAATGAATGGCAACAGAATGTACACGTTGCTGTGAGTTTGGGGTAAAACGTGTGTAAATGCAATGCACCGGTGTGAATGTTCCCTACAATGTCACCGTCCTCAGCGAGGCCAATGAAGACTACACGTACATCCCCGAGATAGATAAGTCCCTGTAAAGCAGTGGTAGCAAAACTCCGGCCCTCCAGCTGTGGGTGAAACTACAAATCCCATGATGCATCTCTCTCCGGGAGTCATGTCCGTGGCTGTGAGAATCTTGCAATGCCTCATGGGATTTGTAGTTCTGCCACAGCTGGAGGGCCGGAGGTTTGCTACCCCTGCTGTAACGTCTCCATACAACAATAAGTGATTCATAAATATAAATGCTTCACCTTTGCAATATCGTAACCTGGGATACAATATATCTCTGCAGATCGATGTAGAAACATTAACGGTGAGCACGATAGCTGGCACTGGGAGTCAAGGAGTCGACAAAGTGGGCGGAGCTCAAGGAATACAGCAGCCAATCAGCTCGCCTTGGGATGTTGTGGTACATCCACCAGGTAGGTTTGTCTTGTCTGTTTTCACTTGTTTCATTTTCTCGGCTTTCTACAATTGTCACATAAAACATAATATATATCTCCTAATGGGCACAGTGGATTAGCACTCTCTTGCCTTGCAGCTCCAGTGTTGGGTTTGAATCCAGTGTGGCTTCTTTATTAATGCAGACTGTCAAATAACAACGTTTCGGGGGCACGCATGTGGTTTTAATATGATACGCGGCGCCATCCGTGGTTACTACAGCACCCGCCTTTGTACATAGGGGCTCCGGTAAGGAGTGCAGCTGTTCCTCGCAATGAATTCAGTCTGGGACACAATCTGCATGGAGTTTGTATGTTCTTCCTCTGTCTGCGTGGGATATATATATATACAGTATTTCACAGAGGTGAGTACACCCCTCACATCTTTGTAAATATTGGATGATATCATGTCATGTGACGACACAGAAGAAATGACACTTGGCTACAATGTAGTGAGTGTACGGCTTGTATATCAGTGTACATTTGCTGTCACCTCAAAATAACTCAACACACAGCCATTAATGTCTAAATAACAAAAGTGAGTACATCCCTAAGTGAAAATGTCCAAATTGGGCCCAAAGTGTCAATATTTTGTGTGGCCGCCATTTTTTTCCAGCACGGCCTTAACCCTCTGTGGCATGAATGGTCACCAGAGCTTCACAGGTTGCCACTGGAGTCCACTTCCCCTCCCCCATGACGACATCACGGAGCTGGTGGATGTTAGAGACCTTGCGCTCCTCCATCTTCCGTTTGAGGACGCCCCACAGACGCTCAATAGGGTTTAGGTCTGGAGACACGCTTGGCCGGTCCATCACCTTTACCCTCAGCTTCTTTAGCAAGGCAGTGGTGGTCTTGGAGGTGTGTTTGGGGTCGTTATCATGTTGGAATACTGCCCTGCGGCCCAGTCTCCGGGGGGAGGGGATCATGCTCTGCTTCAGTATGTCACAGTACATGTTGGCATTCATGGTTCCCTCAATGAACTGTAGCTCCCCAGTGCCTGCAGCACTCATGCAGCCCCAGACCATGACATTCCCACCACCATGCTTGACTGCAGGCAAGACACACTTGTCTTTGTACTCCTCACCCAGGTTGCCGCCACACACGCGTGACACCATCTGAACCAAATAAGTGTATCTTGGTGTCATCAGACCAAAGGACCCGGTTCCAGTAATCCGTGTCCTTAGTCTGCTTGTCTTCAGCAAACTGTTTGTGGGCTTTCTTTTGCATCATCTTTAGAAGAGGCTTCCTTCTGGGATGACAGCCATGCAGACCAATGTGATGCAGTGTGCGGCGCATGGTCTGAGCACTGACAGGCTGACCCCCCACCCCTTCAACCTCTGCAGCAATGCTGGCAGCACTCATACGTCTATTTCCCAAAGACAACCTCTGGATATGACGCTGAGCACGTGGACCATGGCGAGGCCGGTTCTGAGTGGAACCTGTCCTGTTACACCGCTGTAGGGTCTTGGCCACCGTGCTGCAGCTCAGTTTCAGGGTCGTGGCAATCTTCTTGTAGCCTCGGCCATCTTTATGTGGAGCAACAATTCTTCTTTTCAGATCCTCAGAGAGTTCTTTGCCATGAGGTGCCATGTTGAACTGCCAGTGACCAGTATGAGAGTGAGAGCGATAACACCAAATGTAACACCCCTGAGACCTTGTAACAGTAACGAGTCACATGACACCGGGGAGGGAAAATGGCTAATTGGGCCCAATCTAGACATTTTCTTTTAGGGGTGTACTCACTTTTGTTGCCAGCTGTTTAGACATTAATGGCTGTGTGTGTTGAGTTATTTCGGGGGGGCAGCAAATATACCCCGATATACAAGCTGTACCATCACTACATTACATTGTAGCCAAGTGTCATTTCTTCTGTGTCGTCACATGACATATCATCATCCAATGAGAGGGGTGTACTCACTTCTGGGAGATACTGTACATTTATATAGATGGCACAGGTCCTCTTTAGTGATTATAGTTACCTGAGCTGGTGGAGGGGGAACGCGTAGCTAATATAAAGACAGACTCCATCTCTTACCATCTGGATTACACCCCCTGTAGAGGTGATGGATTGTTCGGCTCCATTATATAAATATTCCCCCCGTATGATTATTCCGTATAGAAAGCTGTCAGAGACTCGGCAATTACAGCTCCTGCAAGAACGTTACAGTCACGATTCCTGCTGAGCAGAAACACGCAGCGCCCCGCACACCCGCCTGCTCAGTATTAAACCTCGACTGAGGGGAATGCACGCCGTAGCTAAACTGCTGCTGAAAATGCTAAACGCATGGCTGTCTCCTAAAGGGTTAATGGTAAAAAAAGACACAAAGGAATGCAGCTCCGTATTCATTAAATATATTAACAATTCCATTGGTTTAAATAAGTGAATTAAACTGATGTCACTAGAGGCCGATATCACTGGCTGTCAGATGATGCAGAGGCCACACCCCCTGCCACCTCAGGCAGCAACGGGCCAGGGACGCCAGTGACCTCACACACTTCCTATTCAATGGGGTTTCTGCAATGTTACTCTGTATTAGTGAACAGAAGAACGATAAAGCTGATGTATGTGTCTCCTCCCGGGAAGCTGAGTTTTGATTTGTTTGTCCTTCAGGTGTGTTGTGGATCGCTATGGCCGGGACCCATCAAATCTGGGCTCTCCTATTGGAAGAGGGAGCATTGCCCAAGGGAAGGTAAAGCTCTCCTGAAATACTCTGCTCCCTTCTTCCTCTATAACTCTCCTCTCCTGAGATACTCTGCTCTGCTGGAGGACTCTGCTCCTTCCTCTATGACTCTCCTCTCCTGAAATACTCTGCTGGAGGACTCTGCTCCCTCCTCTATAACTCTCCTCTGCTGATATACTCTGCTCTGCTGGAGGACTCTGCTCCTTCCTCTATGACTCTCCTCTCCTGAAATACTCTGCTGGAGGACTCTGCTCCCTCCTCTATAACTCTCCTCTGCTGATATACTCTGCTCTGCTGGAGGACTCTGCTCCTTCCTCTATGACTCTCCTCTCCTGAAATACTCTGCTGGAGGACTCTGCTCCCTCCTCTATAACTCTCCTCTGCTGATATACTCTGCTCTGCTGGAGGACTCTGCTCCTTCCTCTATGACTCTCCTCTCCTGAAATACTCTGCTGGAGGACTCTGCTCCCTCCTCTATAACTCTCCTCTGCTGATATACTCTGCTCTGCTGGAGGACTCTGCTCCTTCCTCTATGACTCTCCTCTCCTGAAATACTCTGCTGGAGGACTCTGCTCCCTCCTCTATAACTCTCCTCTGCTGATATACTCTGCTCTGCTGGAGGACTCTGCTCCTTCCTCTATAACTCCCCTCTCCGGAAACACTCTGCTGTGCTGGAGGACTCTGCCCCTTCCTCTATAACTCCTCTCATGAGATACTCTGCTCTGCTGGAGGACTCTGCTCCTTCCTCTATAACTCTCCTCTCCGGAAACACTCTGCTGTGCTGGAGGACTCTGCTCCTTCCTCTATAACTCTCCTCTCCGGAAACACTCTGCTGTGCTGGAGGACTCTGCTCCTTCCTCTATAACTCTCCTCTCCGGAAACACTCTGCTGTGCTGGAGGACTCTGCTCCTTCCTCTATAACTCTCCTCTCCGGAAACACTCTGCTGTGCTGGAGGACTCTGCTCCTTCCTCTATAACTCTCCTCTCCGGAAACACTCTGCTGTGCTGGAGGACTCTGCTCCTTCCTCTATAACTCTCCTCTCCGGAAACACTCTGCTGTGCTGGAGGACTCTGCTCCTTCCTCTATAACTCTCCTCTCCGGAAACACTCTGCTGTGCTGGAGGACTCTGCTCCTTCCTCTATAACTCTCCTCTCCGGAAACACTCTGCTGTGCTGGAGGACTCTGCTCCTTCCTCTATAACTCTCCTCTCCGGAAACACTCTGCTGTGCTGGAGGACTCTGCTCCTTCCTCTATAACTCTCCTCTCCGGAAACACTCTGCTGTGCTGGAGGACTCTGCTCCTTCCTCTATAACTCTCCTCTCCGGAAACACTCTGCTGTGCTGGAGGACTCTGCTCCTTCCTCTATAACTCTCCTCTCCGGAAACACTCTGCTGTGCTGGAGGACTCTGCTCCTTCCTCTATAACTCTCCTCTCCGGAAACACTCTGCTGTGCTGGAGGACTCTGCTCCTTCCTCTATAACTCTCCTCTCCGGAAACACTCTGCTGTGCTGGAGGACTCTGCTCCTTCCTCTATAACTCTCCTCTCCGGAAACACTCTGCTGTGCTGGAGGACTCTGCTCCTTCCTCTATAACTCTCCTCTCCGGAAACACTCTGCTGTGCTGGAGGACTCTGCTCCTTCCTCTATAACTCTCCTCTCCGGAAACACTCTGCTGTGCTGGAGGACTCTGCTCCTTCCTCTATAACTCTCCTCTCCTGAAATACTCTGCTGGAGGACTCTGCTCCCTTCTTTCTCTATAACTCTCCTCTCCTGAAATACTCTGCTGGAGGACTCTGCTCCCTTCTTTCTCTATAACTCTCCTCTCCTGAAATACACGGCTCTGCTGGAGGACTCTGCTCCTTCCTCTATAACTCTCCTCTCCTGACATACTCTGCTCTGCTGGAGGATTCTGCTTCTTCCTCTATAACTCTCCTCTCCGGAAACACTCTGCTGTGCTGGAGGACTCTGCTCCTTCCTCTATAACTCTCCTCTCATGAGATACTCTGCTCTGCTGGAGGACTCTGCTCCTTCCTCTATAACTCTCCTCTCCGGAAACACTCTACTCTGCTGGAGGACTCTGCTCCTTCCTCTATAACTCTCCTCTCCTGACATACTCTGCTCTGCTGGAGGACTCTGCTCCTTCCTCTATAACTCTCCTCTCCTGAGATACTCTGCTCTGCTGGAGGACTCTGCTCCTTCCTCTATAACTCTCCTCTCCTGAAATACTCTGCTCTCCTGGAGGACTCTGCTCTGCTTCCTCTCAGATTTCTGATGGTGATGTTGTCTCCCTCCAGCCTCCTCTGTAAAGGAACGTGCGTTCGGTTTGCTGGAAGCGGAAATGAAGAGAACAGGAATAACTCTTACCCGCACAAAGCTGCCTTTGCTCAGCCGTCTGGACTGACCGCGTGCCCCGCGGAGCCTTGGAACTGCCTCTTCATAGCGGACAGCGAGAGCAGCTCCATCCGCAGCGTATCTCTGAAAGACGGAGCCGTCAAACACGTGGCGGGAGGAGAGCGAGACCCCATGGTAATTGTTCGTCTGATATACACATTACTGTAGGAAGTTGTGATTACTGTGGTGACAACTAGTCAGGGCTGGAGGGGGAATTCCAGATAAACAAAACACTGGCGGTGTCTGCTACGGGGGCCTGGGGGACATTCCTAAACCAATGGGGACACTGGGGGTGCTACACACGTCATAGAAGTACCCGGGATATTCCTGGGTCACAGCGGCCACATAATCGATCTTACTGCTTCCTGGGTCACAGCGGCCACATAATCGATCCTACTGCTTCCTGGGTCACAGAGCCGCTGTGACCCGGGAAGCAGTAAGAGCGATTATGTGGCTGCTTTTTGGCACTGTCCGGCTCCATCCGTCCTCCCGCCCTCTTCACAAGCAGGCAAGCTCCGGCTCGCCCCTCCTCTTCACAACATAGGCGTTTGCCTACGGCCGCCCCCCAGGAAGGTGCCGCCCTAGGCAAACGCCTAGTTTGCCTCTTGGTAAATACGCCCCTGGGGATATCAGCGACTAATATGTCGGGTACCGTGCGCGGGTGTCCCAACACCGCATGCAGGTACCCACGCAGGATGACCAAATTAGTATGACCACACTAGTTAAAGGTTATAGGCGCACAGTTTATTATGTACACCAAAATATAACGAATAACCCCGCCAACACCCACAAACAAGTAATAGTAAGTAAATGAAAACACAAGCACATACAACAGGTACAAGGCAAGTAAACCCGGGGAGCAGGGCAAGACCAGAGGAGCAGGGCCACACCAGGAGAGCTAAGGGACAAAGGGTCAGGATACAGGCAGGTAACAGGACTCAGGCTGGGCCACACCAGGGGAGCTAAGGGACAAAGGGTCAGGGTACAGGCAGGTAACAGGACTTAGGCTGGGCCACACGGGGGGAGCTAAGGGTCAGGGTACGGGCAGGTAACAGGACTTAGGCTGGGCCACACCAGGGGAGCTAAGGGACAAAGGGTCAGGGTACGGGCAGGTAACAGGACTCAGGCTGGGCCACACCAGGGGAGCTAAGGGTCAGGGTACGGGCAGGTAACAGGCTACTGCAAGCGGGTATCAGGACTCAGTCAAGGAGCCACAGTCCTGACTGCAGGGAGGGTTTAAATACCCTTCCAGGAAGCACCAGGTGATGACTAAGTGCTGGCAGCTGGGGGACACCCGCAGGTGAGCACTTGGGCCGCAGGTTCCAGCACCACCCAGTGGTAGTCTGATACCTGACAGTTCCTGGCTGCCTGGAGACACCTGCAGGCGAGCACAGGAACTGCAGGACCTGGCTCCAGCGCCACCTGGAGGTGCTCTGGATCCTGACAGTAGCGCCCCCCCTCAAGGAGCGGGCTCCGGACGCTCCAAAAAAGTCCATCCGCATCACACGGAAGTCCAAGGGCACCGAAGGCCCGTGTGGCCGCCAAGTCCACCATAAGCCCCATGGCCAAGGTTCAGAGACCGGTCGAGCATCCCCCCCCTCCCCCCCACCGCCAGGGTCGGGCAACAGGCCGAGCAGCCCACCACCCGGATCCGGTAGGAATCTCCATGGGCCAGCGGAAGTCCCAACAGGAAGGCCATGGGTACCAGGGTTCCGTGGGGACACCGTGACACAATATTAATATACAATTTCCCAGCACAACCTCCAACTCGTCAGGACAAAAAAACCTAATTAAATTATTTCAACATCTCAGGTTATAGTGTAACAATGACATCAAAGCCTGGTGCAAGTGGGCGGTCACCTTGTGGTCACGTGATCAGATAAGTGGGTAATAGCGCTGGACCCCCCGAGGTTTCTTTATATCTTTATTGTCCGTCAAAACTATGGCAACAGTGTACATATAGAACATGTGAATATCGGGCCAGGAACACTCTAGAACAGGGGTGCCCATAATTTTTTTACCAACGAAAAAAAACCTCCCTCGCGCTCCCCGCTCTCTCTCCTGGCTGTCTCTCTTCGCTCTCTCTCCTGGCTGTCTCTCTTCACTCTCTCTCCTGGCTGTCTCTCTTCGCTCTCTCTCCTGGCTGTCTCTCCTCTCTCTCCTGGCTGTCTCTCCTCTCTCTCCTGGCTGTCTCTCTTTGCTCTCTCTCCTGGCTATCTCTCTTTGCTCTCTCTCCTGGCTATCTCTCTTCACTCTCTCTCCTGGCTGTCTCTCTTCGCTCTCTCTCCTGGCTGTCTCTCTTCGCTCTCTCTCCTGGCTGTCTCTC